GGATTCTTCGCTTCAGCGATGATGTTTGCTCGGCTTCTACAGGTACAACCCAATAGTTTTTCACCGAGAAAGAGAAACAGAGAGTCAGAGACCACACACACGAAAGCATTGCGGTCTAGTTATGCAGACACAAAGCAAAGTATCAACAAAACAAAGTGCAAAATAAACAGAAGTGATTATGATAGAGGCTAATACAATACTCGAGAAGCAAATTTATCTAGACTGGTCTTGGGTGGGGTGCGCCAGGCAAGGGCTGTAGTGCAACGCCCGAGCGACGCTCAAGAGGCCCAATAGCAAGCTACTGTGGCGGCCTCTTCCCCTTTAAAAATTAATTTAATATCATGTGAACCGATGGCCCACGTATCAGATATTAAACTGATAAGAACAGATACTACACTTGATCTTAGCCAAAAGGCCGAGAAAGGTATGCTTTGCACTGTTGCCTCGCCTACTCTTTTGTCCCCTGCTCTGGTCTGTGATTCTTTTCGAATTCCCTATGTGGGACTCTTTTCCATAGCTTCTCTTCGCAAAAAAGAAGAACCAGAGCGGACTTAGAAGACTCGTGAAAACCTCCAGTGGAGTTGAGATAAGAGAGGATTGAAACAGAACATGTCGGTTCGGAGATGGCAGCATACTGATTTTGGTACAGAGTTCGAATCCAATCCCTATAAGAAAGATTTTGGAGTCACTCGGCTTAGAAAAGAAATCGATCTGTGCGTTGTCTGTTGGTGGGCGATGGAACACCAGTCCATTTACTTACGATGAGGCAGAGAACAGAGGGAAAACTCGGAAACTAGTAACGCAAGGGCTTGGTCTGAAGCAAGAATCCATGGTCCTATTACTCCTCCTCTTTCGTTGTTAGATTAATTATGCAAGAGAGCCCAAGGGAAGATAAAATACCACTCTATATATGAATAAGTAAGCCGATTAAACTGAACTGGAGTTGGTTCATTTAATGGCTCCATATGTTATGCATTTTGAAGCTTGAACTGATCCAGTGATAATGTTGGTTTGAAGCAAAATACTCCAGGTTTTGAGCCTGAGAGTTACAAGGATTGCAAGGGCACGGTCTCGGTTCTTTACTGAACATATGGAGATAGTCACATTATATTTCTCTTCCCCCGAGCCCCGACATTGCTACAGGTGTTTGCTACTCTTCTGCAAGGGAAAACTCCATGAACTGAATCCATAAAACACTGGTATCTCAGGGCGGAGACAGATTGACATCATGAATCGGAAACACTCAAAAATCTTTTTTACACAATTTTAGGAGCTCCCTCAGTTGAGGAATCCCCTCCAAAAATAGGCGTATGCCACTGATAGTGACGAGCACACGGTATTCTTTAGTAAAAGGCGAAAGAATAGTTCGCTCTGTGCTCATCACATGGCTGCGTGATTTCCTCAAATCTACGATCTCGTCTTTTGTGACTGGCCTTGCTGCTCCTGTTCTTGCCTTTCATCCTATGTGGGACGTTCCATGAGATGAGTAGGGGAGGCCCATGTTCTTGCCTCTCATCCTTTTTGTGTTTTTTTTTTTATTTCTATTCAAGAATTGCAAACATAACACTACTCATTATATTAATGTGTTTGTATTATTCACTGAATAACATATGTTTTCTTTATTTTACGTGAATTTTAAATTAAATGAGTGATAAGTTATATGATATAATAATAGCCAGCTCGTAATTAATGTATAATTTTCTAAAAATATACAAAAGGGGTGGGACTAATACTGCCTTGTCCTACCCCGCCAGATGCCTAGTGAGGTATTTCTCATAAAAAAAAAAATTTCGCGTTCAACATGGCACCTCAGGACAAGGATTTTTCGAGTCCCGTGACCATCCCTAAAGTTCATGATCTTAGATCATGTGAGTGATTTGATGAGATCTTACTATCAAGGATTGTATGTCAAGACATATTTGTCGTCATATTATTTCTACACGCCTTTGCTACTCTCCATGGAGGGCAAAGCAGATGTCTATACACTGAAGGTTGGCTTATGGCTCTCGAGGGAAGAAGGCACCCAAGCGTATTTTAAGAAAGGAAAAGAAAATAAAGTTTTGAAACATGTGAATAGAGATAATAAATATTTGGGAAAATGATATTAATAGTATCATAACTTTTGTACCGCGCTCACTTTGATATTATAACTTCATAACTTTTCAAGCGGTCACTTAAGTGTTACAACTTTTAGGGATGAGTGCACTAGAAGTTTTAAAACTTATTATTGCCATTAGGTTCTAAAACTTTCAAAAAGTGTAATTAAATCTTAGGGTTAATACCACGAAAAACCTAAGTCCTTAATACTTACATGCAGTTATTCAAACTATTTTTTGACCATAAAATCCCCAACCAGTACATGTGTGACATGAGTTATCTCGAATTATTTTGACCACCAAAACCCCAAACTGTATGACAATTTTATTCCGAACTAATATTTTAATATTATTATTTTTTATTTTTCGAATTTTTTTAGTTTTTCTTTCTTTTCTTTTTCCTTTCCTTTTTTTCCTTTATCTTCAACCTCCGGGCGGCCGCGGCCCGGCGACTCACTGGAGGTGGGCGGCGAGGCCGACCTCGCCGACAATTGGCAAGGTCGGCCTTGCCCCACCCCCGGAGAGGGGTCGTCCTCGCCGTCGCAGGCAAGGTTCGACTCACCGCCCGGGCGAGGCTAACCTCGCTAGTTGCGGCGCGGCCAAGCTCGGCCGGCCGATGGCGAGGACAACCTCGCGCAACCGGCAAGGTCGAACCTCGCGAGGGGTGGGCAAGGTCGACCTCGCCTGGCTTGTCGACGAGGTCGACTCCTCGCCGTCACGCCGGCGGGGCCGACCTCGCGACCGTGAGGTTAACAATAAAGGAAAAAAAAAGGAAAGGAAAAGAAAAGATAAGAAAAACTAAAAAATTCCAAAATAAAAATAATATTAAAATATTAGTTCCTGGTAGAAATTGTCACAAAATTTGCTGGGTTTTTTGGTGGTCAAAAAATAATTGTAAATTTGTCACAGATGTACCGCTTTGAGGTTTTTTATAGTCAAAAAATAGTTTAGGGTAAATCGTCACAAGTGTACTAGATTTAGGATTTTTATGGTCAAAAAATAGTTTGGGATAAATATGTCACAAATGTACTGGGTTTAGGGTTTTTCGGGTATTAACCCTAAATCTTAAATCATCTCGGTCCTTCCTAGCGATAGTGATGCGGCCGCAAGGCTGCAAGCCCTTGCCTGCGTCTTCCTCAATTTTTTTTTCTTCTTTTGTATTCTTTAAAAGTTTGCTTATATTTTAATATTAACTTAAATAAAATTTGTATTAAAAAATTAGATGTGGACAAAAACGACGTCATTTTAGTCACGTCAGTGCCACATATGATAGAGAAATTTATTAAAAAAAAGCCACGTCAGCATTTTCTCTTAGCCAAATTTGACGGAGTTAACATAAAGACTTAATTGCACCAATTTGACAAGTTTTGCACTTTTTTAAAGTTTTATGATGATTTTGACCAAAAAAAAAGTTTTATGATTCAATTGTACTTTTGTGACTAGTTTTAAGACTTCTAATATACTTATCCCGAACTTTTAAAAACATCCACCAAGTTACATCAGTGATTGCCCTTACTTGAAAGTCCTATATGACATTAATTTAATTGTCGAACCTTCTAATAAAGGTTATGTTCAGTTCATCAGGGCGTTGGCTGCCTTGAGATGAGATGGAGCGCCTCTCTACTCATTAATCCGTTCTCATTGAAATTGGAATTTGGGTCTAGGATATTTTGGGAAGAAAATTAAACATAGCTTCTCAATTTGGGGAAAAATTTTGGGTTTAGGGTTTGTTTATGGAGCGAGTTAAACCTAATTCCTCAATTTCAGGCAAATTTATGTAGCTCAACAATGTCATTTGACCTATATCTTGAGTGCTAACATATTCGGTGACTTACGTTAGATTTATTCTAAAATAATGTCACATGTGATTTTCCGACTACACAAGTAACTGATGTCACTTGAAAACGATTGATTTTTACAAATTGTTGCACTTAAATGATCTCTTGAAAAATTATAACATCAAGTTATTACCGGTCGAAAGTTGTAACACTATTATCATCCATTTTTCCTTTCTTTGAATAGTGTTATGGACCAATATCATCCCAGAAATAGCAATCAAATTTCCCAATGGTCCAAGATGGTAAATGGGTTGAACTAGTCTATCTATCAGAGCCCATCTTAAAGCAAAGTCCGAATTCATTAATCTCTCGTATACAAATGTCCCAAATTTGCCTTCATCTCATGTACCGCTTGGGAAAATATGACGCCGAACTCATTTTTCAAAATCGTAATTTCATGTGAGCCCAATTATTTGGTCCATTTTTTCTATCTTTGGGACTAATTTTATCAACAGACAAAGATCAAAATCCGCATGATCTTACGATTCTATCCAGTCTTACCACTTTTACCATCTTAAACCGCTACTGGTTAAAGCAATATTACAAACCATCGAGACCACTCGACCGATTTCAAATCCTTTCGAAAAAAATCGTAGTTTTAGTAAGGAAGAAATTCCAAAAACCAATGTAGGATCCAAGGGAAATTTCCGTCTGGTGGGGTTTAGGGTGTTTTTGTCGTGGGTGGGTTTGAAAAGGAGCCGTGAATTTGGGGGACATTCACCATCATAAAAGGACTCCTAAGCTCATTGTGTAATAGAAGAGAACCAACCACCTAGCACAAATAAACCCGAGAAACACAGACAGATGACTTGTTTTTTAGACTCTTGCTTCAGCAATAATGATTGCTTTGCTCCTACAGCTACAACCCAACAGAGAGAGAGAGAGACAGACAGACCACACCTGAAAGCTTTGTGGTGTAGTTATGCGGCACAAAAGCAACGTCTCGCTTATTAAGTAGCGAACAAAATACATGCATCAACAAAACAAAGTGCAAAATAAACAAAGGTGATTATGCCAGCTGGCTCATACAATACTAGAGAAGCCAATTTGCTTTGACTGGGATTGGGTGGGGCGCGCCAGGCAAGGGCTGCAGTGCAACGCCCAAGCGACGCTCGAGAGGCCCAGTAGCAAGCTACTGTGGCGGCCTCTCCCTAAAAAATTCATTTATCATATGGACCGGGATGGCCACGTATCAGATATTAAACTGATAAGAACAGATACTACACTTGATCTTAGCCAAAAGGCCGAGAAAGGTATGCTTTCCTATGTCGCCTCGCCTCCACTCTTGTCCCCTGCTCTGGTCCGTGTTTCTTTTCGAATTCCCCATGTGGGACTCCTTTTCATGGCTTCTTTTCGCAAAAAATGAAGAAGAACCATAGCTGACTTGGAAGACTCACGAGATCCTCCAGCAGAGTTGAGATACGAGAGGATCGAAACAGAATTCGTTGGCGGTTCGGAGAAGAGGCTGCAGAGGAGCCTCAAGGTCGTTGAGAACTTGGGGTGTGCAACCGGACCGGGTTTACCCGGGAACCGAACCGGCCCACCTTGAAAACAGGTCCGAGAACCGGTTCCTGTTTGAACCGGTCGGGAACCGATCTATATTTTTGGAACCGGTTGAAATCGGTCCGATTCCTAGTCTAAGTGAAAATCCACCCGGACCGATTTTTAGAATCGGTTTTAAGTTACGAAAAAAAGTAGAAACCCTAACATTAGACTCACTTCTCGCCTCTCACTTCTCGCCTCGAGTCTTGACTCTCTTCCGCCTTACGAGCGATTCTCCTTCCTTCTTGCCCTTCTCGCCGCTTCGCAAGAGCTCGTCGTCGCGGCTTGGCTCGTCGCCGCGGCTTGGCTTGTCTCCGCGGCTGCTCTGCCGCTGCCGCTCAGCCGGCCGTCACGCCTGTCGCCGCGGCCGCTCATTGCCGCAACCCAACTCATCGTCGCGCTGATCGCTGTCTCGCCCCCGCAACCCGTCTCGTTGCCTCTAGTCGCCGCGGCTCGCAAGAACGCAACCCTCTCGTCGCCTCTCGCCTTGTTGTGGCCGACTCCGATGCAACTATCGAGACAAAGGTGAGTCCGCAATTGAATTTTTTTTTGGTACTTTTTGTTAGGTGACGAGGTTTTTGTTGTAAAATTTTTCGGATGGAGGGGGAAAAGGGACTAGGGGTTCAAACAATTTTTTGATAATTCTCTTTGTAAAGTTTTTCGGTTTGATTGTGCTGCATTTGAGAGGAAAGAAGGGAATGCTCCTTGTGAGTAGTACAATTCTTGCGATTTTCGAGTTCTTGTTCATGTGTTTTGGTGCTGTGTTTTTGTGGTGATTGTTGTTTGCTTGTGGGGGGTTGTGTTCGGGATGGTGGGCGACTGTATTCTCTTGACTTTTGGGCCATCGTTCAAGCTGTGTGTTCGTTTGGTGGGGGTAAGCTCTAGGGTATCCATGGAGGTTTGGTTGGTCTGATTGTGCTGCATTTGAGAGAAAAGAGAAAACAAGCTGCGTTTGGTGGGAGCATGCCAATTGCTGGATAGTGCTTGTGGATTGTTTATTTTGCTTCAAATTTCTGAAACCAGAAAAAGGAAAAAAAAAACAGGTTATCGGGTAGATCCCTGAAACCGGACCGGAAAACAGGGTAGGTTCCAAAATAGGGTTTAGGAAAACAGGGTAGGTTCAGGGTTCCAAAATTGAGAACCAGGTTATAACAGGTAGGTTCCAAGTTCTAGTGCGGACCTCTACCCATCCTGGAACCGATCACCCCTATTGAGAACTACATGAATGACGCCATCGACACGAGGAAGGAGATGCCGTCCGATGATCTCCTGTCGAGGTTCCTGAAGAAGCGCGACATGGACGGGAACCTGTTCCCCATATCCGTCCTCCAGCGCATTGCGCTCAACTTCGTCCTTGCCGGGTGCGACACGTCCTTAGTCGCCCTCAGCTGGTTCTTCTGGCTGGTGATGAACAACCCCAACGCGGAGGAGAAGATCATCCGGGAGATCACGACGGTGCTCCGGGAGACACGCGGTGACGACCCGGCGAAGTGGGTGGATGACCCGCTGGTCTTCGATGAGGCAGACGGGTAGATGATGAATTCATGGAATAGACTTATATAATACAAAATAAAAAATGAGACCCAACACAGGCAATGACAAAAAAAAAAGAATAACCGAAGCGTACGAAGAATTATATATTCAATGGCACATAATGAATGTGATAGACATTTTATTATATGTTCAATACATTCGATTTACTCATCGAAGAAGTCATTCACAGTCTGTCACGTCATTTCATATATTTTTTTAGAAAATTGATTTGATGTATTTAGAAATAAGACAAATACATTTTAACTGACAAAAAAAAAAGACTCTTGCATTTTCTATTTATGCCATCGGTGACATCATTTATGTAATATGAGTCTATCTTCATGGTAAAACTATCATCTCAAATTGAGATTAGGCCCACTTCTCATGTCTAGAGATATTACACCCACTAGAACACGAGTCTTATGTATAATTTCTCAGTTGTGATTAGTTTAGTTCTTCGAATCTATCTTGTAGAACAATTTCTATAAATTTTTTTTCCTTGCATATTGATATATTTGAAAGCCGCACTGGCTGAGACTCTGAGACTTTATTTTTCTGTGCCCGAAGATTTCAAGTACGTGGTTACTGACGACGTCTTGCCAGATGGCACATTCGTGTCCGCCGGATCGATAGTGACGTAATGTGCCTGCCGGATCGATAGTGACGTACTTGATATATTTTGTCGGGAGGATGAAGACGATATGGGGCGAAGATTGCTTGGAGTTCAAGCCGGAGAGGTAGCTGTCGTCAGAGGGCGATCGGTTTGAGCCGCCCAAGGACGGCTACAAGTTCGTGGCATTCAACGCGGGGCCCAGGACTTGCCTCGGGAAGGACCTAGGTTACCTACAGATGAAGTCGGTGGCATCATCGGCGGCGCTCCTCCGCTACGTGCTGTCGCCGGTCCCCGGCCACCGGGTGGAGCAGAAGATGTCGCTCACCATGTTCATGAAGAATGGGCTTCGCGTCTACTTGAGTCCGCAAGCCCTCGTAGGCCCGGCCCAGAAGCTCGCCGCCTCGGCATAGAGCCTCGGAGGCGTGGATGAACTCACGACTTCGCCACGGTGGTGGCTTGAACTTGTAAAGGCGTAATAAGGTCGTTCAATCTGATTTTGCGGTATAGGGTTATTACATGTCCACATGGCGATTCATGCACACACACCCAGGAAAATTTGTTATCGGTTCTGTAATTGTTATTCGTCGTCGTTTCATGTTCGTGGAGTGCTTAAATTTCATTCAAGAGTATACTTGTAATATAAAAAGATTGTCATTGTGATGATTTTGCCTTCTATGTCGTGTGTTCCGTATATTTAGATGTACTTTTTGAGTATAAATACATCATATAAGTATTTCGACAACTAACTAATAGAGTTTAAAAGTATTTATGGGACCTCCGGCATGAGGACCATGTTGCAAATAAGCAAAAAGCAGCTTCAAAAAAATAAGATTACGAAATGATAGGGAAGAAAATTATCAAATTTTGAAGTATCTGGTATGAACAAACTCACGGATATGATGTGATCACCTCTTTTATGTATTTTTACCGCGCTTCATATACATATGAATTATCAATTTACATTCATAGGTGTTAGCTTGTAATATGCGCGGCATCCTATCGAATATAAAAAAAAGTCAAATAAGTAATTACTAAAAGAAACATTTGTGTACAATCCTTGACATGCCAAAATAATTTAACCAATGTTATAAGCTGTCTATTGGAATTCCCAAAATTACTATAGCAAAGTATCTAGAGAAAGTAAAATTTATGAGTAGAACCTTCATAAGCTTACACAATATACATATAAGAACAATAGTAGAGAGTTGAAATTTACAAGATTTTTCACCCCAAACGATAACACTTCTACCAATTTCAAGAAGGCCACTATCAAGGTGAGTTCAAGACCCCTGAGGGTCCCCTTTGCACTTTGTTTGTCATGACCATTGGCCAGACTCCAGAGAGAATAAGTTAATTAAGAAGAGATTGAATTAGATATGACAAATACCATTCTGCAATGAAATACGTTTACTGACATACAAAATTGATGTTCGTACATACAACCTTAAATTCGTGAAGTTTGCATTGAGATAATCTCATTTGGATTCTTCCTCCTCCACCCGTGTAATGCCATGTCAAGGTCAAATAGCCAATAGGACAAGGCACGTAAGCCAGCAATTTTTAGTAAAGTTCTGGTTTCAGGCTCCATCGTTTTGGTCTCTTAAATGCTTTTTACCAGTTTCTTCAGACTCCAGCAAAGATATGTACCAACCACCGCGCAACTGTCCCTTCTTTTCTGGTCTTATCGGTTTCTCTTGTTCCTTATCCAAGCCTTTCTTTACAGATCAGATGCAGGGTGAGTGGCACGACACAGGTTGATGATCAAATATCCGACGATCAATCCAAAATCTTCTCGCCAGATGAAAAAAGGTTCCACACAACGGTTCCGGTTAAGTAGAGCCCGACTGAAACCTTGAAAACATCGTCCCAACTCCCTGCAAGCAGAGAAAGGAGAAAACTATGAGGCAATCTGAAATATTTTCTGAACAATTTTAATGTTTTCAGTAGTTAAAATTATTAGTAGGGACGAGGTAAACACCATGTTGCAAGATGTAGCCCGTCGTGGCTGTCCCAAAAACACCGGCCAAAACGCCAGCAGTATTGGATAAACCGAGCAGTACTCCCTGTCAAGAGAATCCAAAGAAAGTAGTTAGATGGGACAATATGAAAACAACATGGTTACGCTAGTAACACTGGACTTTGGTGCGTAGCCCCTGAGATGGTCAGAAGAAGAAGTCGAACAATGTTTCTGTTTGGACCTAGCCAAGATCAGGATTTATCTCCAAATGCTGCAAAGTGGAGTGCCCTTTTACTGAAATTAACAGAGATGAATTATGAAGAAATACTACTTACGGAGTAGCGGGGAGCAATGTCCTGATGATTCGAGTACAAACCAGATTGCGAGAATGCATCAGTTCCCTGCTTAAAGAGTTTCTAACTGGTTAGTATAAGGAAACGTCTCGTCGCTTGAAAGCAGATCAAATCACAGTTGGACAGGCAGTTTAAAATATAACTTATCAGATTAGATCAATTTGTAGTTTTTCAATGAATGTCGGTTACATCCAGTGATTTAATGAAGTCAAGATGCCAGCATACTGGCCTAATCTAATGTCCCAATCAATGGAAGGAA